TGGCTTGTTTCACCGCTTTAGTTGACCTTTTCGGACGAAGTGATCTGCCAAAAAAAGTCATTTAAATGTGGTGCATTTAACTTGAACATCGAATTTACAAACTTATTCAGTAATAATATTCAAGGTTGGATTGTATATAAATTTGGATGATATATATGAATTTGATGCGGGCTTGGTAGATGTGATCCGCGGAAACGCACAACGCTATCATCGTTTATTCAGTGATGTCGTTGAGGAGCTGATCCGAGACTATCTTGGTGATCGAATGGTGACTACACTTTCATTCACTAGTTTCATCTTATTCACCTTCCGCTTACTTATTTTATGACGTCTAAATAATTTTTGAGCCTCTGTACTTTTTTTCCAATAGTTTAATATATTTTGAGCCACCTGTACGTGATGCTCTCGATGCATTCATATTCCAACGTGTCTATATGGATCGTCAACAGCAAAAAGAAGCCGCCGCAGACTCAACCCAAATGTCCCGCACAGGAAACGTTCGTAATAAGTATCCGCCTGAACTGATGAGGCGATTGTAAGTATCATTGCAAATATCATCGTACCATCGCTTTTGTTAGAGAGTTGTGTTCAGAATTGATCTAAGGCCACATAGGACTGTTCATGATTGCTTACATCTGACACTCATATTGCTTTATCTGTTTGATTTTATGGCAGTGACGTATCAGTTGGGTTGATTTTTGTGGTTGAACTTATATTTTGAAGATGTTTGATCAAATGTTTGATTGAGAACTGTAATGTGAAGAGATGAATTAATGGAAAAATAGATGAGAATGTAATCGTTGATTGTGAGAATTTCAGTGAAGTGGCCTTCAAGAGTCGCACGAATGAAAAACCGCTATCAGTTCGTGATATCAAAGCGGCTCAAGTTGGCAAACTAATAACCGTTCGCGGGGTGGTGATACGAGCAACTGAAGTGAAACCAATGGCATCAGTGATCACATATACGTGTGATACGTGCGGCAGTGAAACTTATCAACCGGTACGTTGCTAGATCAGGTCTTATTCGAAGTTGGTTTATTTTTATGGGCGAGAAGGTGGCGATGTTTTTGTGCAATCTCGGCCTTTTTCAGAAATGTTATACTCACTTTCGTTGTGCTCACAAAAGTTCGACGAAATATCGTTTTATTAAGATTTTTTATAATTTTGTT